ATGTTACTTATGTATGCTTTCCATGGCAGGTGCAACAATGTTGGGACTGGTCAAGAGTTGTATCGGTACAAAGTTCACTAGTCAGTTTGGGGATTTAATTGCAGTAAGCACTTGTTTAAATAAAGGTTTTGCATTTAGTTATTTCTTCTTGTTTATTGGTTTCCAGGTCTTATGATTCTTCATCTAGGTAAAGTGGCCTATGAAGGATATACTGACAAAAATTTAAGAATTTGTCAAGGAAAATATCTGCACAAAAGAGGCAATACTTATTTTCTTTAGCTTTGTAGTTCAGAGAGATAAACATCATATTTAAACTAAAAGTGAGGTTTAACCATGGATTTCTAACTTTTATTCTTGACTAAACTTTGTCTATCTCGTTAGAATTTTTGATAGATAAGCTGTGGCCTCATGCCTGCAAGTTAACTCTGTATGAGTGTATTACTTTGTGTGTCTAAGTGGAAAATTATTACATTGATTTCATAGTTTTCACCATTATTTGTTATGTATTATGTCTTGCATTTGAATGAGCCGCCTTGCAATGAGAATCAATTACTTGGACTATTGATATTCACTCTTTAGATCTGATTCTATCATTCTAGTGACAAATTACTATGAACTCACTCATGAGTCATGAGTCATGACTGACCATAAATTGGGTTTTCTTCTTGTAGGATTTAGCGCTTGATGCCACCACAATAGTGGGGGTGGACCTTGGCCAGGGTCTGCGAGAAGTGGATATCAAAAAGTACATTAAGGTTGAGAAGGTTCCTGGTGGCCAGTTGGAAGATTCAATGGTTCTGAAAGGAGTAATGTTTAACAAAGATGTTATCGCACCTGGAAAAATGAGAAGAAAGATTGTTAACCCAAGGATCATTCTTCTTGATTGTCCTCTTGAGTATAAGAAAGGTGAGAACCAAACAAATGCTGAGTTACTTAAAGAAGAAGATTGGGGAGTCCTACTAAAATTGGAAGAAGAATACATCGAGAGCCTCTGCGTGCAGATATTGAAGTTTAAGCCAGATGTGGTTATTACAGAAAAGGGGCTTAGTGACTTGGCATGCCATTACCTAAGCAAGGCTGGCGTCAGTGCAATCAGGAGGTTGCGAAAAACAGACAATAACCGAATTGCTAAGGCCTGTGGGGCAGTTATTGTTAACAGACCAGATGAATTGCAAGAGTCTGATGTTGGTACAGGGGCTGGGCTATTTGAGGTCAAGAAAATTGGTGATGAGTTTTTTGCATTCATTGTTGATTGCAAAGATCCCAAAGCATGTACTATACTCTTAAGAGGCCCTAGTAAGGATCTCTTAAATGAAGTGGAAAGAAATTTGCAGGTATGGTGGTTTTATTTTTTATCCCATTACATGGAAGTAAATATAATATTTGAAATTTGTTATTTATTTATTACTTTGTCGTAGGATGCTATGTCAGTAGCAAGAAACATCCTCAAAAATCCAAAACTTGTTCCTGGTGGTGGTGCTACAGAGTTAACTGTATCGGCAACATTGAAGCAAAATAGTTCATCTGTAGAAGGTATCGAAAAGGTAAGCGCACTTTTCCTCATATAAAAGTTTTTATCTGTTGTGTAAACTGGTCCAAGAATCTGGAGAACTCCTCGTGAAAATAGAAAGATGAACACTAAGACTAAGAACCTCTGTTGCTTGAGTTCACATGCTTTTGACATATTGGGGATTAAGAATTAGCTGTGGTTTTACATTTGTGTTTTGATGGTAAAACAGTGGCCGTATGAAGCTGCTGCTATAGCTTTTGAGGCTATACCACGAACGTTGGCTCAGAATTGTGGTGTTAATGTGATTAGAACTATGACAGCGCTGCAGGGAAAGGTTTGAATCTTTACCGTATGGCATTGTTCTGTTCTACTATTACTATCATTTATGTATCTCTTCTGATGCATTTTATTTTTATCTAAATTACAATTTCTTTCCATAGCATGCTAATGGTGAAAATGCATGGATTGGCATAGATGGAAACACTGGTGCAATAACTGACGTGAAAGAGAAAAAGGTGGGTGGATCTCCTTTAGTTCCATACTTATGTTGCTCTTTTCTTTCCCTTTTTACTTTGACAATATTCAAGTTCGTTGGGCGATTGGTGCATATTTTGACAGCACCCATGTGAGGGCAACTGCTGTAACCCTGCTTATTACTAAAATAAATGTGACTAGCTACGATTTGAGCGTATCCACGAAGTCTTGAACATCAAATTTCTAGCGTGGGTAAGCCTGTTAATTGCTTATATTTATCATGTCAGATCTGGGATGCGTACAACGTGAAGGCTCAGACCTTTAAAACAGCCATAGAATCCGCTTGCCTACTTCTCAGAATCGATGACATTGTGAGCGGGATCAAGAAGAAGCAGCCTCCTGGTTCCAAAGCTCCTTCAAAGCCTCAAGTTGAAACAGAAGGTGATGCTGATAATGAGCAAATGATTCCCGAGTGAGAATCGACGTCTTGTCGATTTGAATTTAGTTTTGCTTTCAAGAAGAAAGAGGAGCGTTCTGAGTCTGATGAGGATATTTTGTACCCTCGTCGCACTGTTGATCTTTGGATGTTTAAAATTGGTGACTGGTGACAATTGGATTTTGATCTAATAGCTTAAAAGATGTCGACGTTTTGTGTTTGCATGTAGCTAACAAAAATCAATCATCTTAAGCGACCTAAAATTACACCAGAGCTTACAAATGAACGCACGCAAGACAGAATTAAGCCCACGTACTAATGTTGTCACTAATTAGACACTAATTAATGACAAGGATTTGATTTTTACACATAACTAAGCCCACGTAATAATGTTGTCGCTAACTAGACGTAGTAATTAGTGACAGAGATTTGGTCTTTGAGGAAAGTGAGGTTGAACTCGGCGGTTCGCGGGAGATAAGGGTTTCAAAGGTGGAGGTGCATTTTTCAAGCATGAATCTTTCGAATCTGGATCCTCAACCGTGAATCGTGTCCATACATCGTATTTCGTACGGTCAGTTTTCGTCAAGTATTATTTGTTTCAATTTTAAATAAAAAAATGGTTTTTTAACCAAAATGGTTCCCGAGATTTGCATAACACATAATTTTGGTCTCTAATATTGAAAATCAATATAAATGATTTTTAAGATTGTCCATCATCCATTATTTTGGTCCTTCTATTAAAAACTCTGACCAATTTTCAAAGATTCGTAACTCAATCGTTTCTTAACCAAATTCGACTCATAATATATCAAAATGGAGATAGGAAAGTGTAGAACAAGATTATACCTATTCGGAAGCCCAATGGTTGCCAGAGATGGTCGGAAAATAGTCGGAAAGGTGACTGGTCCGCAAGAAAACTGAAAAACTCGCCGGAAACTAGGTAAATTTTAAACGTTCATAACTTCTTCAATACTCAACGAAATCGAGTGATTCAAAAATGAAAATCATACTTCTCAAAAATAGGAAGAGAATGGTACCTTTCTCAAAGGCTAGATTGCCGGGGTTTTGCCGAAAAATGGCTCGAAAGTGGCTAATTCGAGACCAAGATAATCACTTTCGAGCTGTTTTCCGGCCAAACCACCGCGAATTAGCCATTGAGAAAGGTTCCATTCTCTTCGGCTCATTGAGAAGTATGATTTTTGTTTTTGAATCACTCGATCTCGTTGAGTATTAAAGAAGTTATGAACGTTTAAAGTTTATCCAGTTTCCGGCGAGTTTTTCAGTTTTCTTGCGGACCAGTCACCTTTTAGGCTATTTTTCAGCCATCTCCAGCAACCATTGGTCTTCCAAATAGGTATAATCTTGTTCTACACTTTCCTTTCTTCATTTTGATATATTATGAGTCGAATTTGGTTAAGAAACGATTTACAAAGCTATGAAAATTACCCAAAGAGTATTTAACGGAATGACCAAAATGATAGATGGTGGACAATCTCAGGGACCATTTTATTGATTTTCAATCTCAGAGACCAAAGTTATGTGTTATGCAAATCTCAGGGACCATTTGGCTAAAAAGCCTTAAAAAATTTAAAATGATTTTTGATCGCACGATGTATGATGAACAAACATGATTTACAGATCCCTGGAATCCTCACAAAGAGGATCCAGAGAGAATCCTCATTCGATTCTCCCCTTTAAATTTCCATCCTTTCCTTCCCTTCTGTCTCACTTCCTTCTGTCTTTCTCTTTTTCATTTTTCTTAATAAAAAAATCAATACAAAATATTAATAGCTTAATCGTGAACCGTAATCGTTCATATAGGAGAGCAGAAAATGAGAGAAGAATTTGGACAAGAAGGAGTCATACTCTGTTTTGTTTCTTTTAGGCTAGTAATATTTTAGTTTAAATCAATTTATGAATACTTGCTTTCAAAGTTCAAATTCTCAGAGTGTTTAGTTTTGTCCGCTCGAATTAGTCACCATAATATCAAAAAAATCGAAAGTAAGAAAAAAAAGTGTCCACTTAGATTATACCACTTATCAAAAATCAAAATAACTTAAAATTTTCATTTCTCATAAGTAAATATGTCGGGCGCCACATCACTATGTCAAATGGAAAGAGCAAACAAGAACTTCCATGGTACATTGACTTAGTACACAGTAGAGTTACGAATTAATAATACAATGTTATGTGAAGAAAAATTTACTTATTATATTATATCCGATTCAATAATACAGTGTCATGTCAAAACTTAGTACACAGTAGAGTTACGAATCAATAATACAATGTTATGTGAAGAAAAAATTACTTATTATATTATATCCGATTCAATAATATAGTGTCATATCAAAAAAAACTTACTTGTAATACTCATAATAGTATAACATTATCTGCACACAACGCAATACTGACAGTATACTCGTGTCATAAAAATTCTTCGCTGAAACAAAACACCACGTGTCAAGTTGAATTGTATAGCTGTCGCTCTCATCTTAAGCCAATCTACCACGTACTGATACAAAACACGCTTATAAATGAAAGCAGGTCATCAGAACCGACTCATGCATTTCTCATGCGGTTCAGTCTGAACCCTAGATAGAGAGAAGTGAAAGAATGTCAAAGAGCAAGGACGACATAACGTATGCGACTTCGCAGGCGAGGCTTGATGAAGACGAAGCTGTGAGGACTGCGTACAAGCATGGGACTCCTCTTGAAGGAGGCAAGATTGCCGAGTCGGAGCCTGTCGATCTCTTCTCCAGTGCTCGTAACATTCCCAAGGCTCAGCCTCATGATGAAGATTCTAGCAATGATCGATCCCAGATGCAGCAGCATAAACCCGATCTCACGAAACGAGAAGGCGGCCCGGGATCTGCTGCTGATAGTGCTAAACTTCCCAAGAAAACTCCTCCTGCTCTTAGTACTAAGTAGATAGATGCATGTTTATTCCAATTTTTTTTTCTTTTATTTTCTCCTCATATTTTTCTGCATTCCTTTTGTTTTTGTTTTTATGTTTTAAGTTGTAAGCTCTTAATTTTTTTTTTAATGCATGAAGGCTCTTAATTTTTCCTTCCCTTTCTGAGCATGATTTTGGACTAAAAGGGAAAGAAAAACAAAAGGCTAAAGAAATGAAATTTTGAAGAGGATGAAATTGTCCAAGATTGGATATGAATATTTTTGGTAGACGTTTACTAGACCCATCCCATTATCTCATTTCTCCACCTACATTATAATCTCATCCACTATAAAAAATGAAAAAATTAAAATGTTCTTTCTTCACCCATTTTTATTCCTAAAATATCCTCGTTAGCACTCTCGTTCCGCTCTGAGCTTGTCTCTAAAATTATTGCACCAGTAAGAAATAATTTTAGAGAGCTCAGTGACAGACTTTGTACCATTTTTTTTTTTTTTTTCTACTGATCAAACTCGATATCTTTTTATAGAATACCCTTCCTCAGTTCTTCTTCCACACTTGTGTAAATATCAGCATCTATACATAAGCAACAAGTTCAAATTACATATCAATTCATGCTGACATCCATTGTTGAAACATCCAACCAAAACAAAAACATTAAATTTGAACTGGAGAGTAGCCGAAGAAAGCAGAGAAGAAGCAAACTCTGGTTGCCTGGTTTTTGGGTTCGTCTTCGTCTTCAAGATTTTTATGAGAATTAATTTGCAGAAAATATAGAAAATAGTGTGGAATCAGAGCGATTTCAAGTTGAGTAGCATTGGAATTTTATTAGGTGAGGGTTTAAGGATAGATAAATAGTTTGTGAACAGAGAGCTATATTTATATAAAGTCTTTATCGGTCATTTTACAAATAAGTAAATTTGTAATTAAAAATTTTATTAAAAAGTGAGTGGGAGGATAAGACACTGGGGTGAGAATAACACCATTCTTTTGATAAAGATCTTGGACAATTTTTTATAACCTACATTAACCAAGACCATGAATGAAATTGTTTTCCTACCGTATATAAATAAAATTTTGTAAATAGAATATAAAACGTTCCACAATATTGATACTTTGGAAACAATTTGACGACGTAAAATATGGGTTGAACTCATGGACGAAGCTAGAAATATATTTTTAGTGGGGGCTATTTCGAATGAGGAAATTAAATTAAAATTTTGATACAATGTTATTATTTTATTGTACAATATGATTTTGGGTAATTGGTGTTTTGAACAGTAAAATTATAAATCATTAGTTAATGGAAAAATTACCTTTCAAAATTAAATTAAAATTTTGGTACAATGTTATTATTTTATTGTACAACATGATTTTGGGTAACTGGTGTTTTGAACGGTAAAATTATAAATCGTTAGTTAATGGAAAAATTACATAATTCGGAAGCGTCAGAGGATATTTTGAGTTGAGTTTTGAATTGAGACTTGACTTATAGTTTTGTGGAAATAAAAAAAGTTGAGTGGGAGTTGCTGCCCTAAGTAGACATATGTTGTCTTCGTCCATGGTTGGACTTCCTTATTATGGATGAGGTTTATTGGTGTTTTTTATCCCAATGATAAGTTTGTGGAGTTGGTGATGGATGGTAAATTGGATTGGTGTATTTTATTTATTTACGGAGACCCACATCACTAGTATGTAATCCTTCGACAGAAGTAGGAAGGCTTCCTCTTCTATTTATAGGACCCTAGATGACGGTGTATTTTTTGTTTCTTTATTTTTCGTGATATTATTTTCAAGCAGCGTATTTTTTTAAAATTCACGTTAACGTTAATATTGTTAAGAGTAAAATTTAATTACATAATGCGAAAAGAATTCGGAGTCAACAGTTCTATTTTTACAATATGCCTTGTTGGGTGTACAAGTGACTGACTATTTTGTTTTGACCCCTGCAGATTAACCTATGTTTTGGCCTTGGTTTGGCTTCGTCTTAACCTTGCTATTACGAGTGCACGTCTAGAACAGTAATATTTTCTAGGGGACGCCAAATCATTTCGTAGGACAATTGTCTTCTGTGCTTCAATGAAAATCATTTCCCATAATCTTGGTGAATTATTTCTTCTTAATTAAATGCATCTTATTTTATGATAGTACGTGCATTCTTCTGACGAGTGAATGTACATATAATACTTACGTTATCTAGCATGTAAGTTTCATAATTCAAATTGTTCAAATTGACAAAGTGAATACTAAATAACATATTCATGGAATCGTTTAATTAACATTGTCAAAATTATGGTGTTTAAATGAATATAATATGCATCATCAGTTGTCCATTTATTGGATCATCATCAGATGATTAAAAGATTTTAAATTTGATTAATTTTTTGTCAACTTCGTTAGAATTTTGCCAAAATAAGTTATGTTAGAAGGACTATTGCTACAATTGGAGTCACTTAACTCATCAAAACGTGTATATATGATCATTTTCGTAAATTTCATCAAAATTTTATCAAAATGAATTATATTGGAATGATCATTGTTACAATTAGTTTAAAGTTGAGAAACCATTAATTTAATTGGGTTAAAATTGAAGAACAATTTTTGATTAAAATGAAGAGATCAGTGGTAATTAAATTTTAGATTTTAATTGGGGAAATAATATTGCTTAAAAAAAAAAAAAATGGGGAAGGTTTCTGGCCATGGCGGTAGCGGCAATTCCAGAAACATTTGAGGATCCAAATTCCAATTGGGCATCATCAAACCAAAGCTAGCTTTATCTGAAATTTGACGTAGACGAAGAGCCAGCACTCAGAGAGGAAGGAAAGATGAGACCTTCAATTTCAAAGCAGGGAACCGCAGACAATAGTAATAAGGGCCTCACCGGTCACACCTGCACCCTCCATCAGCGTCTCAATCATGCTCTCAACCTCGGCACCAGGTCGGTCTCCTATCCTTCAAATTTTTCTCTCTCTAGGGTTTTCTATGGAAGTTCAACCATTTCTTGATTTGGCTGGAATCAAGATTTTGGTTTTTGGATTTTGGATTTGATTGCAAGTGTTAGGAATCATTGGTAGAATTTTCCCCTTAAAAAACCCACTTCCAACTTCCAACTTACAACTAGGGAAGGGAAGCATGCACAAGATAAGAGCTCATAAACTAGGAGAGCCCAGAAATTTAATATTTTGTTTTAAATTGGATGTGAGGCATTTGAGTCCAAAGCGTAAAATCGTGTTGATCGGGGAATTACAATGTTAATGTGTTGATTCTTATAGCTAATTGACTAAGCAGTAGAATGTTCTTCCTGACCTGGCTTGTGTCTTGCAGAATTAATCACGACAAGGTGAAAAAATGGCAGTGTGTCGATATGGAGATACAAAGACATGTGCTCCAGTCAATAGCTTCATTTCTCGATTCTGTTTCTGGGGATACGCGGCACCATCCACTTGTGAAGGTATAATAATATCCATCTTTTTAAAATCTCCAAGGAGCAAACGATTTAGTCTTTTATTTGTTCAATTCATGCTGGCTGTTGTATTTAGTTTGATCATCAATTTTATTCGTATCACATTATTAGAGATGGAATATCGAAGCCCTGGTAAGAAAATTTTGGAGAAAACAAGTTGAGTGGAAGGTACTGTATTGGTGGTGACGGGTGCGCTATCTCTTGAAAATTCTGTTTCCTTACCAAGTTTTTGGAGGATACATTATGTTTCTTAAATTCTATAGAGCCACATCGTAATTTGTATCAGTTTTGAGCTGTATCTGATTGCACTTATACATATTCTCATCATTGTTTCCATCGATTTTCAGGCTTCAGTTGCTGACATTGTTGGCGCATTGGTTTGGATGCTTCAATCTGACAATGGATCCATGTTGAGGATGGCAGCGGATGTGACAGTAAAATTAGTCAGTATTTTCCCCAAATCAGTACTGCAGCTTTATGTGTTAGAGCTTGTTAATCCTTTGTCATCTTTGTTATCTTCGCACCAAACAGAAGTTGCTATTTTATCTGCCACAGCATTGAATCTTATTCTTTCAAACCTCAGTACCAAGAGTGAGAAAGAAGTTTGGGAAATTCTTAGGAAAACAGAAAGTGTATCTCAAGTTGTCAGTAACTTACGGTTTTTTCCTGGATGTACAAAGACATTGAAATATTTCCAACAGATGGCTCTACTTTTGAGTACAATACTATGGTGGTGGCCGTCATCCAGGTTTTCTGTTTGGAGTGATACTAAACTGATGAATGGCTTAAATGAAATGTTAAAGCTAGATATTGATGAAAAAGTTGCAGTTTTGAAGTTGTATTCTTCTTTAGGTATTAAACTTTTAATCATGAAAAGTAATTTTTATGTTTAAATTTTATTTATTAGCTTATATTCTATAGACTGTTTGGATTAAGCTTCTGTTACTTTTTTCAGCTTTATGTGGTATTGGGGCCAAAAAAGTATTGGAAAGTGGAGAGGTCCTCGGACAGATGTTGCAATGCATGGACAACTTTCATCCACACTCAGTTCGCATTGAAGGATTCAAGTTAGCCCAGTGCCTAGTGGTGTTAGTTCTATCTTGGTCTCCTTATAAGATATCCTGTTGCAATAGTTAAAGGGTCATAACAATGTTTTAACTCTATTGTCTTTCAACGGTTTTTGTTTCAGATAAATGAAGAAATATGCGTACAAATGATGAGCTTAGGTTGCAAACCTATCATCAAAGTCATAATTTCTGGAATGAGTGAGTGGAACTCACATTCTAGAAAGGTCAGCAATGACCAGATGTCTTTGCTAGAGGAGGCATGTCGTTTGGCTCTGATAACTCGTTGGGAAGGGGAGCATCACATTTATATGTGGAAACAAGGGATTGACAAAATCCTTCTTGATCTTCTCCTTGAAAATTTTCACAACCAACCATACAAATGTTCCATGTCATTGGATGAGCAAATGGTTATTGCCAAGGAGGGTCTCAATGCCAATTATCTTCTTGTTCTGAGGAGTTATATCTGGGATATTCTCGGATGGCTTGCAATACATTGTGGGGAGGATTTCAACCCTGAAAGGGAAATCTATATTAACATCCTCATCACATGTGCATGGTAAGTCTCATCCTGAAAAAAAACCCTACTCATTTTCCAGACTTTTAATTAAAAAGAATTTGTCATCCTGCAGGTACCATTTTAGTTAATGTCTTATATATGGTTGTTAATTTTCTGATTTTGCATTCTTTGTATTCTCTGACAGTTTGACCTTTGTTGATGCAATTCAAAAGTGGCATAAAATATATGAAAATGATATTGCTGGTGCCTTCAGACGTGAATCGGCTACAAGGGCAGTTTCAATGATGATTTATTCACCCTGCAAATACATTGCGTCCAAGACCAGATTCATATTGTCCGAAATACTAGGACTAGATGGAGGGGAATATTTGAAAACCTTACTGCGTTTCCTAAATAATTTGTCATCTGGGAATTATTTTGGAGTTCCAGATAAACTCCAAATTATTGTTTATTTAATGGGATTAGCATGCTATTCAGCTTTGCCACAGTACCAAGTCTGGGGTAAAAAATGTGTAAAAACATTATTGGCTTTTATCAGGTGGTGCTTAACTAATAATTTCCATTTAGAAAGATCAAGCTTTGCTCCTCATCTGCATAATCCATTCCATGAGAGGATTTGCTGTTGGGTTTCTGCAGAAGACTGGGAAGGCAAAGACATTCTTTTGTTTTACAGTTTGTGGGGGCTGGCTGAGTGGATACAGCATTGGGGATGCTTAGGAAATAACCTAGACAAAACTTCTGGTGAGATGAGAAATATAGAAGGTCAACTTGTTAGTGAACTTCAGGATATCTGTAACAACAGTTGTACTCCTGGAGTGCAATGTTATGCTGCATATGTTCTTAGTTATTTTGGATATTATGGTTTTCCAAATAAACTTGGGAAAAAAATTGGCAAGGCACTTACTGAGAAGGATTATGCTGATATACAACTCATTCTTGCAAATGGAGAGTGTTTGAGGGTCCATGGTGTTGTGCTTGCAACTCAATGTCCGTCATTGTTGCCTTCTGAACTGCTGCTTCCCAGCGAGGTAACATGTGAGGAATCTTCGGTGACATGCTCTATGGAAATTTGTAAAAAGTTCTGTAAAGACATAAGGTTATCTGCTCATGTTGATCACCAAGCGTTGGTTGTGTTGTTGGAATATATCTACTTGGGATATCTACAAGCAGGACAAGAACTTGTAAAGAAGTTGAGGACTCTTGCCAAACGTTGTAATCTAGTGTCTTTGTTACGGATGCTTTATAGGAAACGTCCCAAGTGGGGCTCTGCTCACCCCAGCCTTGATCTTAGTGCGGCTCTTCATCCGTCTGGGTGTCATTTCTCGTATGGTTTCCTACTTTAATATCTATTTTTGGCTGCATCACTTTCCTACTTTAATATCTGTGTTTTGCTGCATCACATTCACACAACAATTTTAACCCCTTTGTATATGTAGTTTGTTTCACATTTGTGTCTCCGTTAGAAAGAGTGCATTTACTGTGGTTCATATCGGAATCTCAGTATATCTTGATGTTGTTATCTAAATATAAGGCTGTATTGGTTTGACAATACAGGGGAAACTGTGCAGTCAAGCCAGTTAAACATTTCAGTTGCTCTATTGTGTATGCATATTTATTGATTGAAATATCACTACAGACTGTCAATACACATTCTAAGAAGCTAAAGGCCTGTATGGTAAAGTTGGTTTTGTGTTGGGAGAGGGGAGAAGGAGATGAGAGATGTCAGTGAGTAGGGGGGGAGAATATAGATGGTGGTTTTAACTTGAAACAGTTTGAAATGGTATTTAGTTGCAATGATTTTTATCTGCTCTCACTCTTTTCCTCCTTAACTCAATCGTCTCTCATCCTTACTCTTTTTTTTTTATTTTGAGAAGAAACAAAAGAATTTTATATAAAAGAGAGAATTTACACAAGTGGAAAAGAGTTCCACCTGGAACCGGGAGTAAGTAGCAAGGACCTTTAAGGTAATGCTGATTAAACAATGGTAGTCTCATCCTTACTCTGAAAAACAGAAAGAAAATGTACATGTGTGTATATATACCTATATACAAGGAATTAATAAACGATCTGTAGAGTATTTTGAATGGTTTTAGATTACCCAACATCGGCATTATTTTTCCAAGTCCCGTCTAAAGGTTCTCTTATTGGGTTGAGGATTTTCATGTATATTATGATTGACTGGATTATAAACAAGTTTTTAGTAGTTCACATATTTTGCATTCCAACTTCATGCTACTAGTTGGTTTTCCAAATTTCCAATTCATGTTAGTAATATTTGTTTGGTTTTGGTTTCGGTTTCAGAGATGTCATCTTAGAAGCTAAGACAACTGAGCTTTTGGGCTGGACATGTGGTATTTGCTCTCGCTTGGTGCCACATATGCACATTCACAAAGTTATATTGTCATCAAGTTGTGATTATTTGCGGGCCTTGTTACAGTCAGGAATGCAAGAGAGGTGCTTGCAATTCTCTTTCTATATACACAACATAGATATACACACATCCTCTTATTGAAAGCAATAAACTGTATAGTTTATTTAATGTACTGCAAAATTTATATTGTTAACTTGTATGAAGAGGTTTTGAAAAGTGGTTCCTCAAATTGGCTTATGGTAAAAGTGATTTCCAGCAGTTATTGTCATCTTTTTTGGGATGTGATGCTCTTGTAATAAAAATGCGGTGGTATTATAATTGGTGTCGCATGTCAAATTGTTCATATTGGTATACGCATCCATAATGAACTTCCATTGCTTCAAACAATTTTAAATGTTGTTAGATAGCATGCTATTAAATGTTAACCATCTTTTCATTGAAACTGTTTATAGATTGTCAGGCTTATCCTGTTACCTTTTTCTCAAGGAAGGAAAGGTAGTCAATAGGAAATAATAAAAAATGATTTGTTATCTTTGTTAAAGCAAATAGTTTGAAGATGAGAAGTATGATGTTAACCAGATTCTGTGGCTACTGTTTACTCTTATTATGGGAGACATTGGCCTTCTTTTGCGTTTGCATATCTGGGTATTTAAGTGCAACAACATCAGTGGCGGTGCTTGTTTTTACTTTGTACATTCTGTCACGGTTTGGGTGGGATGGTGCAAAGGTGATGCCTTGGTTTTTGATTCTTTATAAATTAGTTTCACATCTGAAGTGCAATTATCATTGATTTACTTTGCAAATTTTGGCATTTTGGATGCTAGTTTATTCAATCACTTCTATCGTAAGTATAACATATCCTTTTCTTTTTATCGGTTTTTCTTTTGCATACTTGTTGCAATATATCAGAATGATACTCTCCCTTAAATGTTTTTTTTACACTTGCAGCCATTCACAAACCATAAAGAGCTCTATTAGTTGGGAAGCAATGGTTAAACTAGTCAACTGCTTCTATTGTGGTACGCTGCCAAAGCCACCCTCTGGATGTTTATGGGATAATATGGACACCGAAGAAAAGTTACATGAGCTGCAGCCATATGTAGAGCTCTGTTGGCTTTCTGAGTTCTGGCTCATGGAAGATATTCAAACAGCATGCTTCGATGTGATCATATCAACTCTCGGTTCTGCCAAAGAGTTGTCTATTAAGATACTTCAAATTGCTGCCAATTTTTCTCTGTGGAAGTTGGCCGAAGTTGCAGCAACTTATGCAGCCCCTTTATATCGCCAACTGTGTGATTCTGGTGAACTTGACGCACTTGATGAAGTGCTGGTTGAGATGATTCGTGTAGCCTCTGTTCATCTCTCTCAACAGGGTGGTAATCAATGTTGATTTTATTTCTACGTAGATGATTGAAAATATATGAAAATGTGAACTAGACTACTTTTGGAGAGTTTGTTTTGCAACCAAATGCTAATTCTGCCAATTTTCTGATGCTCTCTTTTCAAAAAAGATTTTGTAGATTTAGAGCATGGGCACCGTCTCTTTTTGACGTAAGGTATTGGCTGCTTGAGTTGTACAGTTTTATTTTTCTTTGTTTTGTATGTTCATATGTGGGGAGGAGTGCTGGGGAGGGGGATGGCGATAGTCAGAGAACAGTTGTAGATATTTCTTTCTTTTGTCTCAGCCAAATTAGGGTCAAAGTAAAACGGTATTTTGAATCCTTCAAATGTATTGCTTTGTGTTTCATAATGTCAGCATGTCACCTAGCATGTTTACTCCTCCACATTTCTCTGTTACTAATGCATATATCTCGAGCAGGCTAGCAGAGTTGACAAAATGCCTAAAATTAACAGTCTACCATCTACAACGCAGAGGTTGTTCCTTTGCACTAGGGAAGAAGCGTGGCTGTAGAGGATGGATCTCCATAGTAGGAACTTCACCATTCAGCCGTGATTATTTTCCAGTCGCTCTTCCAAGTTCAGTATTTTCTCTTTCATGCAAAACAGATAATTACTGGAGAACAGTTATGAGAAACAATAATGATCTTCCACCTTCCTTTCATGCAGGCATTATCATTGCTCTTGAAGGGAAATTAGTTTAGCTCGAGTCAAATTGCAGCTCTCAGGAATCCAGATTCCTGACCATCATTTTTTGGCAGGTTGAAGCTCAATCTTAGTAACACTTCTGTTGTATTTTTGATTTTTGGAGGGTATTTGTAGAGATGTAGATTTTAGAGCTTTTGAAAAAACGCAAACTATCTTGGTCAATTTATTTCAAGTAATCTGTGAGTTATTACAACTGAAAACCCTCAATCTTGTTTTGATAATATAACATAGACAAATCCATTAAAACACAGATTCAAATTTCAATTAGTTCACTTGAATATCTACTAGAACAAGGTAATTATTTTAAGTAGTAAACACTGTTAAAATTGGTACATATTCTTGACAATTTGTCCGTATTTTTAGTTATCCCACATAAACGTTCTGATTTTTCCTTCCTGCTCAACGCTCTTCAAAAATGAGGTTTAATTAATTCATTCGATGTCAATGGTGATCCTCACTTTAGTGCTGACACAGAGTCCCACTACTTTGATGACAAACTTAATTTTGTAGTTGCAATTGAAAAGGTTAAGACATTTAGTTTTCATCAGTTAATGATATGACGAAGATCGTTGTTGAGATTTCTAATTCTCTTATAGCATTGATTTTACTTGTCATTACACTCATTGTCAACTATCTGGTGTTAGTTTTTCAATCTTTTGCCGCATTATAAAATCAGATTTGGTTTGATAAAATTCTGCTTTGTAACTGTCCAGCTTTTCAGCAATATTGTATGCACAGTGTGCATGTGATACATTGTCATTAGAGCTCTCTTTCCTGCAGGTGTCATCACTGCTTTTGAAGTGAAATTAGCGTAGCTCGAGTAGGATTGCAGCTCTCCGGAATCAGAATCATGACTATCATTTCTTGGCAGGTTGAAGCTCACAATCTCAATAACACTGTTTTAGAACTGTTTCATTAGGTGATTTTTATTGAAATGTAGATTTTGGAGGTTTTGAAATGAAAATTGTCTTGGTCATTTTGTTATCTATTTTCTAGGACATAATATAGAGAAACGCATTAAAATACATATTCAATTACTTAGTTTAAAAAAAACTAGAACAAGCTAATTATTTTAAACACAAATCACTATTAAAATTGGTAAACAATGTTGACAATTTATCCATATCTCTAGTTATTATCCCACATAAATATTCTGATTTTTAATCCCGGTTTCACTGTCTTTATGATTGAAAAACGAGGGTCTTCATAATTCCAGGCCAAGTTACTTTGAAATCAATGGTAATCCTCACATTAATGTTGACATAGGTCTCAGAGTTACTCTACTATTAAGATGACAAACTCTAATTTTGTGTGTGAGAAAATGAATAGGTTAATCGCTCAGTTTTTCATCAGTTGATATAGTGAAAGAGCTTTGATAATTCTTTTGTAACATTGATTTTAATTGTTTTATGCTTTTAAAGGAGGGCAAGCCTTGGCGCAATGGAAAGTCAACTCCTTTGTCACCAAAAGGTCAGGGGTTTGTTGTGGAAACAGCCTCTTTGCAAAGCAAGGGTATAGCTGCGTACGGTAGACATTTCTCCCATGACCGTCACTAAGCAAGGAGCCTGGTTGGTTTGGGGTTGCTCCTTATGCTTTCATTTAAAGCATTAGATCCAGTTTGATAAAGTTCTTTGATTTTTGACGCTCGCATATCCCCCGTGCTCCCAAATCTCCCATATCTGTGCTTCATAGTCAGGGTGGGGAATGGAAAACAGATGGCGTACAGATTGATCCTAATGGAATGGAAAAACTTTGGGAAGGGAAGTCTTCACCATCATGACAGGAGCGAAGGAAGAAAATATAGGAAAGAGGAAGAAGTAGGACTGAACCTGGCCTGATGCCGTACTAACTTGAAAATATGGCAAGAGTACAAATTGCAGAATGGGCAAACAATCAGTCAGCAGCCAGGAAATCAAATGGCAGGGGAGACACAAATGAGGAGTTGAGCAGGTCTGGATGCACAAAGCCAAATCTTCCAAGAACTTGATTATCTGCAAAATTTAAAGCCCTCTGCATCCCATTCCAACAAGCTTCCCAAGTGTAGGCAGAGCTGTGTGCCCGTTGCATGGTTGACACCCAGTGAAGTGCGTGGTAAAAGGCCTTCTGAGATCATCTTCCCAGTATCCCTTATCCTTCACATGTTGGTCTCTCATAGTTCCATAGAACTGGCTCACTTTCTCCGCATGTCTCCTCCTTAACATGTCCACCTCTCTTTCGATCTCCATGTATCGTTTGGTAATGGTGTCAAGACCATCCACTATTAACAACCAGTATCCGTGTTGGTGGTAATCATCTTCCACGTAAGTCTTGTTTGCCCATCTTTCTTGCTGTGTTATTAGAAGATAAATCAGACCCGATTGATCATCTGAATTTGAAATTTGCTTGCCTTTGATCAATGAATTTTGCATCTGCGCCCATCTTTCGTAGTCTGGGGTCTGTGGCCCTATGGTGATCCATGCCTCTATGAGGTTCATGGACCACTGGCAGTTGCGTATCAGGAACACTCCGGTGTTGATACTCATCCAGCTGTGCTTGTCATATATCTCATGCCACCACCCATGCACAACTAGGTTGTGATTTTTGTATCTCTCTAGTGGGAGATTGAAGTCCATGTCTGTGACAATCGCATTTGAGTCCACCCACCACATCCACTCCGCCTCAGGATGAGCCAGCATGGCAGCACGGAGAGTTGGTAATTTGGCCCAGGCGCCAGTCACTTTTGGATGGAATGCCAGATTGTTGTAGAAGATTTCATAGCCGTGGAGTCTGCAATAGTCTACTTTGTTCTTGAAAAACCGAAGCAGCAAATGATCACCAACTGGGTTACTGCATGCTGTGCTCTGAGACCCCATCACAAGAAGAACCCGATCACTTACACTAGCGGAGAAAGGACAGTGATGCAGCAGCCACTTCTTGCGCTTCTCATCCCAGTCTTCCACAGGTTAGCCCAATCAAGTAGCTGAAGTTTGAATCATCATAGAATGTAGGCTCAGCTGGGTCATATCCTGAATCAAGGCCGTGGGCAAGTTTGCTCCAGGTGATGGTTTTGTCGAAGTTTGTGTCCGGGAGGAGAGCCTAACCCAAGGACAGAGCCAATGCCGCTCCTGCGGCAAATAGGAACCCGCGAGCAATAAAACCGTGGAGAACTAAGCGTCTAGGTGGAGCGTACTTTGGTGAACCCATCTCCAAGAAAGGTACAAGGGTGTCTCTGTGCCTTAGTGTTTGCTTATCTGTGCAAAGCTTAAAATTTTAAGTACTTACATAGCAGACTGTTTTTGTACCCGAAAACTACTTTAGTAGCATCATTTCTTGAACGCCGAGGAATCGAATTTCGAATGACAATCTTGCTCGATTTACCCAAAGTAGAGGTAAATCCAAATTACTAGGTACAAGCATTATGTGATGAGAAAGCTCAATTTAGGTGACTTCAATATAACCAATTAAACAGGTACAACTAAAAAGTATACATTAGTACCCATTTAACATAAGCACATACCGAGAGATTTCTTAGTATGTCAGAAACAGGAACACCAAAATTATAAAATTGGTTGGAAACTTGAAGAAAAAAAATATTCCAACCAATTGTATTATGATTTATGACACTTGGTGTAGCGGCGTATTTTTGGCACACTAAAAAATTTCTTCTGTATATCAGGTACCAGACTGACTGAAGGTACATCCGCCACCCAACTTTTTAAGTTTTCTGGTGCACACCTAATTCATAGGTTGGGCTATGTCTTTGAGGTAAGGTTAAAGAACGTGTTGATCCTCACCGACTCCAGCAAGTATGGTTGGCTTTGAGTTTGTGTATTCAATCTGCATATTGTCTTATACAATTTGTGTTCATTGCGTGGGGAAGACCCTGCTATGGTAGGGTTTGTGCTTTTATTACCACATTTTGTGCCCTAATTTGTGCAATAAAAGTTATAGTTCATTAACAAGAAAGGGTGGATTTGGTTAGTATTTAACAATGCATTGAAGTTTCATTGCAACATTGTTGAACTGCATAACTGGTGTGTCAGGGTTGGGTTAATACATGAGTGGAGTGGAAAATGTAGTTAAGGAGTAGTTGTCAATTTAGGACCCCAGAGTGTAGGACTCTTCGCCTTTTAAGGTTTGAGAGAGGATGCAAACTAGGACATAAATAAAGCACCGAGTTGAACTCTTCTTTGATGTCAAGTTAACAACTATGAATAATTATCAGCCTTCGGGAAAAGGCAGAAAAAATAAAAACTATCATAGAACATACAATGCCCGGATTATTTTATTCAACTCCTAAATCATAAATCGTCTTTACTCTGAGATACTGTATTATCGTCTAACTCGAGTGTGAACTGCCTTAGGACCTAATGGAAAACACTCTGGGGTTTCGATGCCTTTGGGGGCCTTTGTGAAGGTGGCAATATGATGAGTTGCTTTCGCTTGTTGAACCCTAGCGGCTATGCATGGCATGCATTTCAATGGGTAATGTGTCACGGATTTGACATGAGGTTGGAGCTTAGTATCATTTTCCTCACCAATTAGGGCTGCTTTAGCGACGGAATTGGTGGTGGGCGACTGTTCCAGTTTGGAGACCTGGCATGACAACGAAATTTATAGGGTCCGTCAACTTTGTAGTCTTTTGACTCTTAGCATGCAAGCGAGCCACGCGAGCGTGTCAAGCTCCACTAATTAAGGCCCTTCAAAATATCATGTTTCATGGGTAGTATGATCAACTACGCTATATGAAGAAAAAAGATATAGTCAAAATTTGGAAGATGGGAAAAGCGCACTTTTCTATTTCCAACTTTATATTTCTAATTTTTATCTTTTAATTAAGGAATTGTTGTTGGCAATCTAAAAATCTCATTTTACACTTCTAACTTTCTATATTTGGAAAGAAAAATACACTTATGAGAGGTGTAGAATGAGATTTTTGGAGTGCCAATAACACTTCCCTTTAATTATAAATATCCGAAATATTCTTCAATCTGGACGTTCATAACGAATTATTATCAAACACAAGAGGTGGACCAAAACAAGAGATATGGGGTGTTTTGTATGAACGGACAGACGATCGCACCCAAGAATTTCTTCAATGAGAATGTTGTTTGTGTGGGATTTATTTGATATGAGAGAAATACAAGGAAAGAAGCTTGCGTTTTATATCATTTTTCTTGCAAGTTATACTTTAAGCATTTTGGAGCAAATTAGACTATTAATTTGGGGGTAATACGAAAGAGACTAAATTTTTAAATTAAATTTGCAAATTTAAAAACCAAATGACATGGTAGTTAATGATTGAATTATTACTTTAGTATTAATTAACGTACTTATTTCCTCTTGATGACGCATAATTTGATTTACAAATTTAGTTTTCCTAGCATTATCGTTAATTTGTTGTAATCATGGAAATCGTTTTGCGGCACCAATTCAAGAAGGCACAATTCTCATCATAATTTACACTATAAAATTCTTTACTCACAAATTCAGTCTTTTAAGAGAAAAGAAAGAAGAGAAATATTAGGTTAATACAAAGAGCATCAAAGACTTACTGTAAATTATATAGGTGGGAATGAAGACTAAACACATGCTTAAATTTCAAGAAATGTGTCTGTTTAATCTAAAACGTTGCTTAAAATCCAACTTTCCAACATAATCCATAAGAGCATCGAAGCGCAATCAGACTCAAGAGGAGAGAGACTTTCCTACACCGCCGGCCATGCCCTAGACCAAAAGCGCGGTGCCGGCGTACTCAAGTCCTCCACAGAGAGGCTCTCTTGTTACATATTTACACATTCTATTAAAAGCAAAAGGCACAAACTGCAGAATTACACACTAATTAAACAAAGGAAAACCAATAAACTCAAGCATCTGGGAAATCAAATGGCAAAGGAGAAACCCAAGAAGAATTGAGTAGGTCTGGATGAACAAACCCAAATCTTCGAAGCACTTGATTATCTGCAAAATTCAAAGCTTTTTGCATCCCATTCCAACAAGCCTCCCAAGTGTACATTCCATTGTGCTCTCCACTGCAGGGCTCACACCCTGTGAAATGCGTCACAAATGGCCTCCTCTTATTCTCTCTCCAAATCCCGTTCTCTCTCATGTACTTTTCTCTCATTTGACCATAAAACAAGCTGACCTTCTCTGCATGCCTCCTCCTCAGCAAATCCACCTCCCTGTCAATCTCCATGTACCCTTTGCTTATCCCATCAAGCCCGTCCACTATCCCCAGCCAGTACCCATGCAAGTTGTACTCGCTCTCTAAGTAAATCTTATCCGCCCATTTCGACTTCTCCTTTATCAAGAGATAAATCAGAGCCGACTGATCGTCAGAGCCTGGATACGCTTTGTCCTTGATCAAGGACTTTTGGATCTTCCCCCAGTTTTTGGGATCGGGACCCTGTGGGCCCATGCTGGCCCACTTATCGAGCAAGTTCAGTGACCACTGACAGTTTCTTATCAACAAAACCCCAGCGTTGAGGCTCGTCCAGCTCTTGTGCTCATACAGCATGTTCCACCACCCATGCACGACCAAGTTGTGGTCTTTGTACTTCTCCAACGGAAGCTTGAACTCCATGTCGGTGAGAACCGCGTCTGAGTCGACCCACCAGATCCACTCAGACTCGGGATGGGCCAACATAGCAGCTCTCAGAAGCGGATATTTGGCCCAGAACCCAGTACCCTTGGGATCCAGCAAAACATTGTTGTAAAATATGTCGAGCCCATGAATCCTACAGTAATCAACTTTGTTCTTGAAGAGCCTCAGCTGCAAGTGGTCCCCAACTGGGTTTTTGCACACTGTGGGCTGCGACCCAGTCACGAGAAGAACTCTGTTGTCCACGGCGGCTCCGGCAGCGAATGAAGGGTGGAGCTTCAGCCACTCTCTGCGCTTGGAGTCCCAATCCTTCACTGGCTCCCCAAACGCGTAGCTGAGATTTTCGTCGTCGTAGAACGTGGGCTCCGGCGGGTCGGAGCGCAAGTCGGGTCCGCAGGGCCCCGCGTTCCATGTGATGATGTTGTCGAAGCTTATGGTGGTGGGGTTTATGAAGGTGAGGAGAGCCCAGACAACAGAGAGAGCCAACGATGCACCTCCGACGAAGAGAAAGCCATCTGCTATTAGGGAAGGGGCTTTGTGGAGAACGGAGCGTTTTGGTGATGGTTGGAAGAGAGAAAATTCTGAGGAACCCATTTTTTAAGAGAAAGAGTAGTGAAAGTAGTGGGAACTGGGAAGTGGCAGCTTGCCTAAATCTGTTTTGTTCTTAGAGCAGAGTGTAAGTAGGAAGAAGCATTAATACCAAAGTCTTTGTTGGGTGCTAAAGTACTTCACATTGAGAAACTATTCTCTTCTACTAGAAGATAGAGACTCACATGGCATAGCATGTATATGAATTTCTAAGGAGACTTTTCAAGTCTTCATGGATTTTCTCACCTAAGAGTTTATCGTTAACTCTCGTGTTAACATTATAAAATATTATGCTAAAAACATGAGATATCACAGAATTTGAGGAGAGTTTCACTCTTGAGAAAGTTTTCTTAGCATTTTTTTAACATGCATGTATTATAACACGTGAATTGGTTATTATTACTGTATCAAGTATTAATTTACCATTCATCATCAAGTAATATGTGTTTTAGTTAAAACTTAAATTACTTTGTTGTGTTCTAGTGTCGTACCATAATTTTTCGTTCAAGAATATGAACAAATTGAACCGGTAAAATATCTTTTGAATGAATTACTTTTTCATGTGTCAAATTACGTAAAGAGTCAATTAGGTCGACTATTAATGCATATCACGTTCCGGTGTTATAGTACCATACAATAAAGTTTCATTTTAGGTCGATCTTAACACGTGGAAAGAATTCAGTTACTGGCTTTCGTGAGTTAATAATCTTTAGTCTAAAGTTGAATAAACTTGGGTGGAGTATTCTAAT